AAGCTGACAAAGAATATGTAGACGATGCAATAGCAAAAGAAGAAGAAAGAGCTAACAATGCTTATGCAAAAAGAACATACTCATCCTGAACTAGCAGACAAAACATATGTTGACAATAAAATGTCAAGTGAAGTGACGAGAGCTGAAAACGAATATTCTAAAAAGACTCATACACATTCTATATCTGAAATAACAGACTTAAACGTTAGCCTTGAAAAGAAAGCGGATAAGGAATATGTGGCTAGTAAGTTAGAGAAGAAAGCAGATAAGGAATATGTGGATGAAAAAGATAATGAAATTAAAGAAAGGGCTGAATGGTATCATGAATGGACATCGAAGATTTTAAAAACTAAAGCTGATACAGGATGGGTTTCAGGATGTTTAGACCTTAAAGCAGATAAAACTTATGTTAACGATGAGTTAGAGAAGAAAGCAGACAAGAACCATACACATGATTTCTTCACAACTGTTGCTATAGAAAGTATTGAAGGAACGGTTGAAGGAACTGGTGGGGATGCATTATATTGTAAACCTCCTAACTTTCCACAAGGTTTAACATCGGATGACGACATAACGACGATGAGAAACATTAGATGTAAAGATGTTTATGTCATGAAGGATGAACATAATATTAAATTCACTGCTCAAGATTTATATGACAAGAAAGCAGACAAAACAGAGCTTCAAACATTAAGACAGAAATACTTCAAAAATTATATCCTATAGGCTCTATTTATACGTCAATGAACTCTACCAGACCAGAAGTAGTACTTGGTTTTGGAACTTGGACTCAAATAGTCGACAGGTTTTTGTATTGTGCAAACTCTTCAAAGGAAACAGGTGGAAGTAAAACGATTTCAGGTGAAAATTTACCTGCACACAGTCACTACATAGATTTAAGTACATCTCAAGCAGGTTGGCATAAGCATAGATATTGGGATTGGTCAGCAATGACAAAAGGTAAAGGATATGATGTTAAAGACAACGTTAAGTTTGCTATAAATTGTTACTGGAGTAACACTGAGGGAGGAGGAAACCATACACATCACGTTTCAGGATATACGCAAACAACGGGACAAAGTAAAGAATACATGCCACTTTACATGACAGTTTACGCATGGTATAGAAATGCTTAGTCGTCATTTTCAACTTCTTTAGCATATTCGTCAGGAGTTGTCTTATATTTGTTAGGAACTGTTTTGAAAGTATACCACCTTGAACTTTGACAAGTTTGAAACGAGGTCTGGCAATAGTAGTTTTATCTTCTGCTTGCAGTCTGTACATTTTGCCATGTTTGCCTAAAACTTCATAATATTCTCTTGTATACTTTCTTCTATTTTTACGAACACGAATGTGAGTACCTGTCGGGTTCCCATTGTTGTCATAGTCAATAGTATTTTCATATGGGTCGCGTTTAGGTATTTCTATTTTTACTTTGTCACCTTTCTGAAGTTTGAAGCCGGCATTCTTTCTTGTTTGTCTCTTTTGACTAAATTATTAAATATATAGTCTTTCTCTAAGTCAGGGTTGTTTTTCATTTCTTCGGGGGAGTGGTTTCCAAACCTTTTGTTTACGGTTATTGTAAATATTTAAAACTTGTCTCATCTTTGCCTGGGAGAAGTGTCTATACTTGTCGTCATATGACATTTCATTTCTTCACCACCTTGTGGTTGGTTTAAGTCTCTTAACATTTTTATACAACCGTCAATGACACCAAGAGCAGAATGGTTTTGGTCGACAATGAAATATTGGTTTACATTTTTTGAACGCAGATAGTTTTTTACATCATCTGATTTGAAAGAACTTTCACAGTCAGATGTCAGTTTTGTTGGATGGTATTTGTCAACGAATATTGTCAAAGCAGTTTTTCACATCTAAAATATTTTTTGGACCATAATGGTATGGCTTCACAGTATCTTGTGTTTTGACCGACAAATATTAGCCAGTTATGGTGGTCCATCTGTTCTAACTCTCGGAATGTTTTCCAAGATATCCATAAACCAAGCATTTGGTGTTGAACTAAAGATTTTTATCATGAGTGCTTTCTTTGTCGCTTTAGAAACATAGGGGTCCTTGTTTGGATTCGTCATTTTTTATCCTATAAGAAATTGGTTTATTTGGCGCATTAGCAGGAGTTGCATCCAGATTTTTACCCGCAGTGGGAACAATAGCCAGAGGTGTATTTGGAGTTGGAAGGAAGATTTTGAGTACATTAGGTATACTTAAAGAGAAAGCACAACCTAATTATACAAACTGTACAGAAAGGTTGGGATGTAGCACGAGATGCAACAAATCTTATTCCAAATCCTGAAACAAGAGGAAAAGTTCAAGGATGGATGGACAATGTAGGAAGACAAGCAGGAAACTTTATAACAAAGCAAATGACTACTATAACCAAGCAGGACATATATGGACAAGGTGAAAGATTCTTTAACAGAGGATATAACCATGCACAACAATGGGTAAACAATAACCAACCTCAACCGCCTCAAACGTGGGGAATGTAAAGTTTTTTACTGAGATGAAATGAACAATACAGCATTGAGACAAATGGGTTCAAGATGGATTTGTCGGCTTCCAGCAGTTACACCACGTGTTTGTCAAGTTCTTCCTATACCTCAGGAAGTTTTAGACCGACTTAAAAACAACAACAACCAGTTGAAAACAAACCAAACTAAAATTTTTTACTGAGATGAAATGACCGAAGAAGTTGAAACGGTAGATTTGACACCACAAACAAAAAGTTCAGAACCATTGTCAAAACCTGTCAAAGAACTTACAGATGAAGAGAAAAATTCAATAATAGAAAGTGCCAGGTCTGGAAATACAAACCCTAACTACAAAGTCACTTTTCATAAAAATGGAACGGCAAGTATCTCAAAAAAGAAACAGACTCTCACAAATAAAATATTGAAGTCTGAAGGAGCTTTCGAGACAACAGATGGAAAAGTTTACTTCACTGACCAACAGTTCATTATAGAACATCTCATTGACTTAGAGTCGAAATATTCTAAACTTTACAACAAACACAAAAAGTTGAAAGGAAAACAAAAACAAATGGCATATGATATTTATGAAGATGTTGACGACACAACTGTTCCTGCAAGTGAAGTAAAGTCAGAGAAACCGAAAAGTGACGAAAAACCGATAGAAGAAGAAAAACCAAAAACTGAAGATAAACCAAAACCAAAGTTTAGTTTGGAAACTAAACCAAGTCAACCTTCATTAGCTGGTATGGGTTGGCGTCAAAGACTTATGGCAGCAGGCGGTTATGTAAAGTAAAGAAAAAATATTTTTTATTTTTATAAAAATGCCCCCATATAGAATGGATAGAAATCTGCTAGAATAAAAGCAGAGTTGCAAAGATATGGTTGGAGAGTTTCGAAGAAGTTTAAATATAGGAAGGGAAGACCCATAAAAGTCTATGACAAATTGTCTGGTCTTCGCTACGAAATGGATTTGGAAACAGCACGTGCAAATTATCCAAACAGACTAGAGAGGTTAGAAGAAAACGTCTTATGGACATGCCTTTCGATGTTAGTGAACCTCAAGTTGAAGGACACGACGGCTTTGCCAGATTCTACTGGAAACATGACGAACAATTGCATCCTTTGAGAAGGAAAAAAGGAAAAGGTGAAGACACACATGCTCCCATGGAAAGAACAAGATATGCATATGAAAAGTATCGTGAAGTTAGAAGTCAAATTACATCTGGTCGAACCTTTACAGTAAACTTTGACGAAGGAAAGAACAAAGAAGGCTTCATGGGGTACTTGCTGCCATACAAGACGGAAATAAGAAAGGACACAATCTCAGATTGACCATAACAGATTTGGATGGTCACATTTACTATGCACATGGCAATGAACAAACAGCCGCAAAACTTCTTGACGCTTTCAAGACTACAAAGAGAGAACAAATGGTTGACTCCGACTCAGACATTTTGAATGCAATTGAAGGAATTGCAAGTGTCAAGTTCGAATGGTACCAACCTAACCCTCAAGCAGTCAGACAACATGCTGGATACTTCCCCTTCATAAATAAGTCTGACATTGACTTGACAAGTATGGAATTTACAATTCAATTGAAACAATTGTCAACGAACCTTGCATTCTTACATGTCTCAGGAACTCTGGTCTTGTTACAGATGAGAAGATGAAGTATCTTGAGTCATGTGTGAAGACAAGGTACATTCTCAGAGGTCAATTGGCAAAAATTGCACCGTTGGCAAATGTCAATATCCGAGTCAACATACCTACAGCTAAAGGTTCTTCACATGACGACTATGTTGTTGACAAAGACTTACCATGGTTGAAGATTGTAATTGTCCACAACCACTTCATGTTGAACGAAAGTCTTACAACCCATTGTTCGGAAAAGGCAAGTGCAACATTGTCAGAGCTGTAAACATTCTTTTCGAGAAAGGTTTGTTGGAACCAATTCCAGATGACAAGCTGACAGAAACTTTTGTACCAAAAGACGAAACAAACTTTTCACTGTTAGCAAGACCAAAAGTTGTTCCAGACAAAGTTCTAGTACAAAAGAAGTACACAATTCCACAAGGAGTTGGATTGTTCGGATACCAACCTGAACCAGAAGAACTTCCAATGAGGTTGCAAGAACTTCAAGATGCTATAAACAAACTTCCATTGAGACATCCAATTGACGTCAAATTGTATTGGAGAGCATCTGAGTTAGGTCAGAAGGTTTTATATGAAACAGGTTGCTTCGACGATGTTTATGAGATAACAGGAGAAGTTTCTCAGAAGATAAGAGACTCACTTGAATTTCCACAAACTGGACCAATTGGTTGCGACAAGTTCGACTCAGATGAAAAGATATACTATGTCGACCTTAACGCTGCGTACATGAGGTTTGTCCAATATATTCCGACTGGAATTCCAAACGAAGATGGTGAGTTCCCGGGAAGGAACTATACAGTTGGAAAAGTCATACAACAACTGTATGATATTAGGAAAGCTTCAAACCCCAAACTTGCAATGACACTCAAATTGCTTATGAATTCGACATGGGGATATTCCATTAAGAAACCTCAAGAGATGAAGAGTAAACATTATGAGAAGGTCGACAACTTTGTTGAAAGGTTTTCTCCTTTTGTTTTGAAGTACGAATTCACTCAAGGTCAAAGTGGCTTAGTAACCACATTAAAACCTATTGTCGAACATTGGTCTTACCCTCAGTTCGCAAAGGCAGTCCTTGACAACTACAACAAATTCTTCTCCGAAGTCAAATCCAAAGTCAAGGTTTACTATGAGAACATTGACGCACTCATGACGAACGAAGAAGGTACAACAAACTCATTGAAATGGGTATGGTCGGTGAAAAGATGGGTCGATTCAAATTGGACAAAATTTTCACCGAAGTTCATGTCCTCTCCAAGCGTAAGTATTGGGGCATACTTGAAGACGGCACAGAATAAAACATTGCATGAAATAAAAACGTTTTTCAAAAAAGTGACATTTTTTATTTTATTTGAAATGTACGCTGAGTTTGTTGGAGAAGACCGTTGGGAAACTTGTTTGTTAGATGAGAAATATGAAATGGCATACCATTTTAAAACAATATATTTTTACATATATTAAATGCTTCAGGTTGAAAAACAAAGAACAAAAGTAGCAGATACAAAACCGTTAGACTATATCTTTACAAATGCTGGTAGGACTATTTCAGATGAAGAAATTTCATCCCGAGCATACAGGTTTGACTATCCAATTCGTTGGCTTCAAAGTCCTTCAGATGCAAAGGCAATAGGATTTAGAAGAGTTTTGTTTTTCAAATAGAACTAACGCATTTATGTTCGCAGTATATTTTCGGCAGTATAAAGGTCATTTCAATAGACAAATTTGACGAAATGAGAATCTTTACAGTTGTTCAGACGAAAGTCTTGAGAAAACTCTAAATGACTTTCAAACTCAAATGAACAAATATTATTGGGAATTTCAAAAAAATACGACTCTTTACTAAATGGAACATACTATCTGAAACTAGAATATGACAAGATGAACTCCACCGTTTCATTTCAAAAGATTGAAATTAACCCTCCAAGAGATACAGAGTTTTTATTTTGGAAAGTAGACAAACGTTCTTGGGCACAATTTCTTCGGTTACTAAACCAGAACGAACCATTACCACCAGATGGTCCATTTAAATTTATACTTCCACCAGCAGATTTGACAGTTTATAGAAACGTGTTTGACCCTCAAAATGTTATGTGTCATGCAAGTTTCAGTTCAAGCAACAATAGTTTTCTATGTATTGGTAAGGACTTTTATGACTTTGCTTCTAAATTCTACGAACCACCTAGTAACAGTTTCTCTGACTTTCAAGTTTGGTTCACAACAAATGGTGTGCAACATATTATTCCATTGTACTATGACTTTTATCTCGAATTGTCTTTCATATATAACTACGGAAAAGTGCTGAAAAAGTATTGAAAAATAATGTTTATGTTAGCATGTTAGATCTAACACGTTTTCTAACCACTTTTCTAACATCGTAGAAAACTCATGAAAACAATTTATTTTTGACACTTTCACAAAAAAACATAAAAAAGTGAAGTTAAAATGAGATGTTTACTGAACTGGTTGGATGTCGCCTTCACAGGTTATGTAGAATGGTTGACCCGAGAAGTGGAACAGTGCTCTGAGAATTTGTATAATTCGTGGAATTGGACTCTCTCTGTTTGGTATTTTTATCCAAGGACGTTTGTTTAGGAACTTAACAAGAGCTTCTCTTTTGGCGTCCTTTATGTCGTCGAAAGGAGTGTTTTCTGGTATTTGAATTGGAATTCCAGTCGAAGTCTCGAGATTCAAGGCAGCCCTTCCAGAAATAGCGGTGAACTTGACCTTGGGCTTCATGACCTTGCGCAAGTAGTCTTTAACAAGCTCGTTAATTTCAATTAGGTAAACTGCCTCGTCAAATCCTTCTGGCATTCCGAGTCCTTCCATCCGACAGGAAAATATTTTCCCGACAACTGGAAAAAATTTTCCTTCCGACAGAAAAAATTTTTCCTTCCGACAGGAAAAAATTTTCCAGTTGTCCGTCCGTAAACCATTCAAATTTTCGAAAATTGAGAACTTTTTGGTCGAACTTCAGAAAAAGTTTTTCCTTCCAACAGAAAAAGTTTTTCCTTCCGACAGGAAAAGTTTTTCCTTCCGACAGGAAAAGTTCTTCCTTCCGACAGGAAAAGTTCTTCCTTCCGACAGGAAAAGTTCTTCCTTCCGACAGGACACAAACAAATGTCCCACGTCCCACCAACCCAGTCCATTCCCAAACCAGAGGAACCTAAAGAACCACAACAGTCTCCTCAGCAACCTCAGTTCCAGCAAGTACCTCCGAATTTCTACCAATTTCCACTTCAAGGTTACTACCCACCACAAGGCTTCCCGAACTACCCTCCTCAGCCTATGCCTTACTTCCCCAACCCTTGGATGTTCCAGCAAGCTCCAACCCAGCAATTCCAATCTCAATCCAAATCGAAGAGAGACCAAGAGTTCGAAGAAGGTCTGAACCGCTTACGCAAAGAGTATGCTACAGCTCCAATTGAGAGAAAGTTGTTCCCGGACCAAAAATATAATTTAGGTGAAGAGGTTAGATCTCACCTGTTTTCTCACCTGTTTTCTCACCCTCATGAATTTGTCAAGACTTCTTCGTAATGTTTTGTCATGATTACTTCTTCGTAAATGTTTTGTCATGACTTCTTCGTAAATGTTTTGTCAAGACTTCTTCGTAAAAGATTAACATATTTATACGGGCCAAAAAAATTTGGCTAGAGATTTGGCTAGTTAGAAAATTTAGAAAATTGAGAGGAATTTTTATTTTCGATTTTTTTTGGAAAGTTAAAATTGTGATTAAAAATCGTTTTCCGGGAGAACTTAGCATCTTATCATATATTTAAATCGATAAAAAATTAAATAATAGTTGAATAGTATAAATACATGAATTATGGCTGAATATCACAGAAAATGAACATATATTGACATTTTTGAAAATTCATACATTAGTTGGTGACAGACCATAAACTATACTTTAGCTAAGATTGATATATGATTTCAACAACACATGGTTAAATCGTAAAATTTTTTTAGACTTCAAAAAGATATATATGGTAATAAATGGAACAGAGTCAGCAAATAGCATGTAAATATGTTCAATTAACTTTTTATTATATCCAATAGTAGATATCGAATAGTTTCAGCTTTATGGTTAAATATTTTCTTATCGAGCTTCTCTTTAACTGTTGTATTAAGGTTGTAAATTTTTGATGATAGAAACTTTGGAATCTTCTTTGCTGCTGCATTTTTCTTGAGAGTTCTTGCAATTTCGAATAGATCTGCACATTGTATGAAATAGGGGCTTTAAAATATCTTGAAAACAGAAAAGGACTACTTTTCCAAAGGAATGCTTACTTGTAAATCAGAGAGTTTCAATTGAGTACAAGATTATCATCATAACTTTTGATTTTGCTGCGAAAAAGGAAGACAATGTATTAACAAATCATTTACTGTTGTTCATCAAAAGAAGAAAACTTTGATAACAACTAATGATGATAAAATCAAGCTATCTTTTAATATTTTAAATTGATAAGACATTCAAAATATTTGAATGGTTTAAAATATTTCTTTTAATTTCAATAATATATTATCATGATTATATAATCAAATTTAAATTTTATTCAAAAAGGCAATATTTCAAACTTTTAATTTCAATAATCTTAATTCGGCAATAAATGTATTTAATTGTAGCAAATTTAATGATTCTTCGTCATGGTTAGCAATTTGGAGCTCATAAATTAATGATTTCTTCAAGTAAAATTCTGCATTATTTCAAAAATCAATAATTCTCTAGTAACTTTTCTTCAAACCCTAACCATTATAATATATGTAAAATAGAAAATAATTGCAAAGAAAGATAGCCGAATTTACTGGGTAGTTCTTGTGATGCGAAATAATTGGAAATTAACACATAGTTTTAACAGCATCATTCTCTTTTTGCTCTCATTTAAATGCATTCGCACACTTTAATTTTGATATATAAGAGTTTTGGAAATTATCAAATTTATCTGCTCAAATACTATAGATCTTCATAAGTGTTAATAGAATTACAAGGCTTACATATAGTGTTTAATATAATGATGCACATCATACTGGGATTTATTCCTTATTCATCTAGTTATTATAAGATTTACAACCCCATGAAAATTTAAAATTTTGTCAAAAATAGTGAATGTACCTTTACAAAACCATCAAATGATAGCTATTATTCATTGCTATTAAATTTGAAAAGTAGTTTCATTTGAGAACTGTTTATTTTTCCGATCGTCAAATATGTTTATCACATTATTACTTCATAGACAATTTTCTTTTCAATGTAGACATAATGAGCTAATGAAAAATCTCAAGCGCACAAAAATACAAACATCTCGGGCAAGAAAGGTACTTGATGGTCCATATTTCGACAAAATCAGAATAACATTCGATTATCGATTTGTTGACGGGGAATTTAGAAGTGATTTGCAATGTAACAATAGTCAGCAAATAATTTATATCAATGAAGATCCAGTTTCTTGTACTCCAGAAGATATTTTAACATCAGAGAAAAAAGAAGTCCTAAAAGGTACGCTAGAAAATGTTAAATAATATTTCACCAAAATGATATATGTAGAGCCGCTACTTGATGATTATACGCTTGAAAACACACAATATTACGAATATCCAACACCTCAAACAATGAAAAAGACAGATCTTCATATAACTGTCATTGCTACATCACTAGGTAGAGATTCGATTAGTCCAGCAATGGGTGGATCTTATGTGATTGACGAAATGACAAAAAGACCAATTCAAGGAGTGCTTTTAATCGATACAAAACACATTCCGCTAAATATTGAAGGGGAAGATACTATTCCAAAGTATGTATTCATGAGTTATATCCATGAATTCATTCATATTTTAGGTTTTGAATACGAGCAAATAAAAAATTTCCATCCTATCGGAAGTTATAATCCGTATCAAATAGACGATTCATTATGCTATTTCACTAAGTATGGCGTAGACTTCCTTGTTTTAACAACACCATTTGCGCATATTTTTGCAAAAAATCACTATGGCGTTGACGAATTTATCGGTGACAATGGAACAAGATGTAAATCGGGAATTCAACTTGAAACTGGAGGAGATAGCGACATTATAAGGCTCAATCACCTGGAGGGAAGATTATTCCTTGATGATATAATGACTGGTTACAATTTGGGTCCTTTTGAAAATGAAGGAGATACTCCAATTAAATCCGAAACATTCCAAAGAATAACGGATGCAACATTAGCAGTTTTGCTGGATACCGGAAATTATAAAATCAATTACAAAATGGCCTCACCGCTTGTATGGGGAAATCCTGAATCTATTGATGGAAAACCGATTAAAGACTTTGCAATAGGTCCACCACAAGCTGTTTTTCCGTTCCATTATACAATCGGTTTATTTAATAGCGATCCACATACATTATTCAATTATAAAGGTCTGGGATTTCCAGTCACAGAAGATATCGATGAAGCTCATCGTAATGATACACAAAAAATGGATGAAAGGTTTTGTAATCATCAAAACTTTTACAACCCAGCAAATTATGATTATTATGGTGGAAATGATATTTTTGATTATATGATGTTAGTTAGACCCATAACAATGTGTCCAAAGGATCAGGCATCCTTACCAGGTGGACCAGATTGCTATACATTCACATGTGATGGATACGATTCAGTCTCATTTCCAATTTCTATTCCAAATAAAGGAACGACACATTTCAAATGCACAAGTAAAGATGATCAGTCGTTAGCATATATAGACAAAGATGGCGGACAAGTAGAAATAAAATGTGTCAATCCAGAGATATTCTGCAGAACAGTTAAACTGGCTGATATGAAATTCAAGAAGAATCCATTCATCGACGGTGTTATTCACTTAAATGATGAAGATCAAGGACCAGGTCCTGATATTTACCCGAATATAACAAATAATTCAACTGTCGACGATTCCAATAATAAAAAGCAAAACTATTTCCAAAAACATTTGAAATACTTCATTATTGGATTTGTAATTCTTGGTATTTTAATTTTGGTTACAATATTTCTCCTTATTCTTGTAAATAGGAGGGACAACATATCATCATCCCAAGCCGGACTTGAAGATCTTCAACAAGATTAACTCCCTCTTTTCCTTCCTTTTTCTAACAATTTCCCCTTCTTTTTGGTTTTTATTCATATTAAATGATAATTATTTTGAATTAAATTTGAAAATCTTTTGACCCAGGTCTTATTTAAGGGATAGTAACAATTTAGGGTATGAAACATGTATCTAAGATATTTTGACAATAAAACTATTTATAAATGTTTATAATATAATAAGAAAAGTTTTGGGTGTCTATATTTTCCAATCTAACATCAAAATTGGAATCTGTTTTATGATGAAGTGGTTTTTAAAGAGCCTTCGTATGAAGGTCAATTGTAAAACATAATCAATAGTTGTATATATGTTTTAGAGATTATGTCTGAAATTCTGATATTTTAAACTGAATGGAAACGCTTTTTAATATAAGGAAAGATGATGTAATATTGTTAGTTATATATATTATTATTATTGAAGAGTTTTCCTACAAGTGCAAAAAATGCGCAAAAACGAGTATTCTAAATTCAATCTGTGAATTATTTTTGCATTTTAAAATCAATCCGTGTAAAGTAGTCAATATTGATTGAATTTATTCTTTTATATTTTTGCATATGCAACTGTTGCTATTCTTTATTAATGGATTTGACTTTCAATAATGGTCAACTCCAAAATTTTTCAAATACGCAAAAAATGAGCAAATTCAAGAGATTGGGACAAAGTTGCAATTCAGCACTTTTTGTAAAAAAAATGGGGTCATACTCATAATGAATAGAGACTTATAGCCAAGTCTTGATATCATGCAGGGAGAATATACATAGATAAGCAATTATATTTTATAGTAGTAGTATTCAGAAATTCTTACAATTTACAATACAATTTTCAAAAATGGATAAAGACTTATAGCCAAGTCTTGATATCATGCAGGGAGAATATACATAGATAAGCAATTATATTTTATAGTAGTAGTATTCAGAAATTCTTACAATTTACAATACAATTTTCAAAAATGGATAAAGACTTATAGCCAAGTCTTGATATCATGCAGGGAGACTCTCTACAAATACAAAAATTGATTATCATAAGGAAATACAAATTTATCAATTTTCATGTGAAAATTACATAAATTTGTTCTCCAATAAATAGCAATAATACTTTGAATGTTATATTAAGTAATATAGCTTCAGGTAAATAAGCTTACACTTCAAAAATATACTGTTTATTCATTAATTTTAAAAAAAGTCCAAATTATCTAATCTTGCTTACTCTTCCTTTAAACTTCTTTGTGCCAAATTTAATATTGCCTTCAAAGATGGAATAAGGACATTAGGTTCAATCCTTCGGCTTTCGACAATTTCCAAAATGTGTTGAATTAATTTCAAACATTCATCGTGTTTTGAAGCTCTTTGCTCAACAATCTGATTACCTGCCCTTGTAAGAATTCTTACTGCTCTATCTTCATTCAAAACATTAGCGACTTGAACCTTAATAATCGCATTTGGAATCACAACAGTGATGAGAGTTATGACGATATAAAAAAATATTTTATTATACTCATTCGAAATTAAAAATAATAAAATTTATATATATTAATTTCATTAAATCAAGGTTAAAAATCTCACCGGAAAAATAACCTCAGTGTGATAAATTTATCACCGGAAAAATTTACAATAAGGTTAATACCGAAAATATCGAAAAATCAACATTTAAAGTTAATTTAAGAGTATGCACTTTTGTCACCTACTCGCAAATTCAATTTTAAATAATCGTTTTTGTGCATTTTTGCACTTTATGTAAAACCCATAATTGAAAACATATTGAATCTAAATCCCTAAAAAAATAAGCAACTCAATGATGAATTAGACTTTATATTTATCAATTTTTATGAATTTAAAACATTCTACTCTAAATGATATTAACATTACAAAATCATTATTGCATCACAAATATGTCAATATATATATAAATCTATGAAAATCAGATTTATAAATATCCTTAAGGGTGCTGGAAAGTGAAGTGAAAGCTAATATAAAAACTTCACTTTTCAAACACATAAAATCTTTTTTATTTTCATTTATTTATATGAGTATAAACCTTGAATGATGATGTATCATAGTATCATATTTAAACTAAGTAAAATCGATGATTATGATTATATGGTTATCGAAAACATACAAATATCATACAAAATTTTTAAAATCTTGAAGGGAAAAAGTGCATTTATCTCATTCTCTGAGAATCGAAAATAAAATTTGTTCTGTAAAACTTTTAGTATAACTATTGTAATTTAGTGGTTAATATATCTCACCGGCTTAAACACATTACTGGAGGACTAGATAAAAATCGATTTAAATTTTGAATGTGACTATTTGGCCTGGAAACAGCTAGCATCATGTTTATTACCTAACAAAAATAAGTAAAATGAATTGAAAAGATAGTGAAAGAAGGAGTAGTTTTGATGAAACACAATTTGATCTAACTTATATAATTTAAACCGATGGATCCACCCAAATTTCTTCACTCTCCCCTCTCCCATCACTCAAAAACCGATGCAACCACCCAAATTTCTTCACTCTCCCCTCTCCCATCACTCAAAAACCGATGCAACCACCCAAATTTCTTCACTCTCCCCTCTCCCATCACTCAAAAACCGATGCAACCACCCAAATTTCTTCACTCTCCCCTCTCCCATCACTCAAAAACCGATGCAACCACCCAAATTTCTTCACTCTCCCCTCTCCCATCACTCAAAAACCGATGCAACCACCCAAATTTCTTCACTCTCCCCTCTCCCATCACTCAAAAACCGATGCAACCACCCAAATTTCTTCACTCTCCCCTCTCCCATCACTCAAAAACCGATGCAACCACCCAAATTTCTTCACTCTCCCCTCTCCCATCACTCAAAAACCGATGCAACCACCCAAATTTCTTCACTCTCCCCTCTCCCATCACTCAAAAACCGATGCAACCACCCAAATTTCTTCACTCTCCCCTCTCCCATCACTCAAAAACCGATGCAACCACCCAAATTTCTTCACTCTCCCTCTCCCACTCAAAAACCGATGCAACCACCCAAATTTCTTCACTCTCCCCTCTCCCATCACTCAAAAACCGATGCAACCACCCAAATTTCTTCACTCTCCCCTCTCCCATCACTCAAAAACCGATGCAACCACCCAAATTTCTTCACTCTCCCCTCTCCCATCACTCAAAAACCGATGCAACCACCCAAATTTCTTCACTCTCCCTCTCCCATCACTCAAAAACCGATGCAACCACCCAAATTTCTTCACTCTCCCCTCTCCCATCACTCAAAAACCGATGCAACCACCCAAATTTCTTCACTCTCCCCTCTCCATCACTCAAAAACCGATGCAACCACCCAAATTTCTTCACTCTCCCCTCTCCCATCACTCAAAAACCGATGCAACCACCCAAATTTCTTCACTCTCCCCTCTCCCATCACTCAAAAACCGATGCAACCACCCAAATTTCTTCACTCTCCCCTCTCCCATCACTCAAAAACCAATGCAACCACCCAAATTTCTTCACTCTCCCCTCTCCCATCACTCAAAAACCGATGCAACCACCAAATTTCTTCACTCTCCCCTCTCCCATCACTCAAAAACCGATGCAACCACCCAATTTCTTCACTCTCCCCTCTCCCATCACTCAAAAACCGATGCAACCACCCAAATTTCTTCACTCTCCCCTCTCCCATCACTCAAAAACCGATGCAACCACCCAAATTTCTTCACTCTCCCCTCTCCCATCACTCAAAAACCGATGCAACCACCCAAATTTCTTCACTCTCCCCTCTCCCATCACTCAAAAACCGATGCAACCACCCAAATTTCTTCACTCTCCCCTCTCCCATCACTCAAAAACCGATGCAACCACCCAAATTTCTTCACTCTCCCCTCTCCCATCACTCAAAAACCGATGCAACCACCCAAATTTCTTCACTCTCCCCTCTCCCATCACTCAAAAACCGATGCAACCACCCAAATTTCTTCACTCTCCCCTCTCCCATCACTCAAAAACCGATGCAACCACCCAAATTTCTTCACTCTCCCCTCTCCCATCACTCAAAAACCGATGCAACCACCCAAATTTCTTCACTCTCCCCTCTCCCATCACTCAAAAACCGATGCAACCACCCAAATTTCTTCACTCTCCCCTCTCCATCACTCAAAAACCGATGCAACCACCCAAATTTCTTCACTCTCCCTCTCCCATCACTCAAAAACCGATGCAACCACCCAAATTTCTTCACTCTCCCCTCTCCCATCACTCAAAAACCGATGCAACCACCCAAATTTCTTCACTCTCCCCTCTCCCATCACTCAAAAACCGATGCAACCACCCAAATTTCTTCACTCTCCCCTCTCCCATCACTCAAAAACCGATGCAACCACCCAAATTTCTTCACTCTCCCCTCTCCCATCACTCAAAAACCGATGCAACCACCCAAATTTCTTCACTCTCCCCTCTCCCATCACTCAAAAACCGATGCAACCACCCAAATTTCTTCACTCTCCCCTCTCCCATCACTCAAAAACCGATGCAACCACCCAAATTTCTTCACTCTCCCCTCTCCCATCACTCAAAACCGATGCAACCACCCAAATTTCTTCACTCTCCCCTCTCCCATCACTCAAAAACCGATGCAACCACCCAAATTTCTTCACTCTCCCCTCTCCCATCACTCAAAAACCGATGCAACCACCCAAATTTCTTCACTCTCCCCTCTCCCATCACTCAAAACCGATGCAACCACCCAAATTTCTTCACTCTCCCCTCTCCCATCACTCAAAAACCGATGCAACCACCCAAATTTCTTCACTCTCCCCTCTCCCATCACTCAAAAACCGATGCAACCACCCAAATTTCTTCACTCTCCCCCTCCCATCACTCAAAAACCGATGCAACCACCCAAATTTCTTCACTCTCCCCTCTCCCATCACTCAAAAACCGATGCAACCACCCAAATTTCTTCACTCTCCCCTCTCCCATCACTCAAAAACCGATGCAACCAC